CTTTATTTTACAGTTAAAATAAATGTTTATCAAATAAAGTCTAATGTTTCAACTAATCGGTGATCCCTTTAATCTTCAGTCATTTCTTCAACAAGTCTCGAAAAGCACACCTTTGCCCCACATTAGAGAGCAAAGTGTTTTCAGTCCCCTCTGTGAGTCTTTGTGTATAATTGTTCTGAGTCAGATATGTTTTCCTGTGAGGAAGAAGAGCGGTCGATCCTCTTTGGCGTTGGCGGTCTGGAACTCGTCGCTGAGCCTGAACCTCCACTGCTCCTCCAGCTCCAGTCTGCCCACGGTCTGCCTCAGCGAGCTGCGATCTGCGCTGATCACACACAGGGTGGCACCTACAGGGAGGCACACCAGGAGACATTTAAACCAGGACAGGGACGTCCGGCAAGTTTTAATTACCAGCTAAATCATCTACAAGATTTCATCGTGAACCAAGGCAGCGGAGACACTGCTACTTAGAGATGGAAAAAAAAGGCAGGACAAAACACCAGTGAAAACAAAATTAATGGGAAAATATTGTTACTGATCCATTTTTTGGGGATGGAAATATTTGATGGTTCTGTGATGTTTATTGTTTATTGTTGCACTGTTGTATTTTGTGTGTTGTACAGCACTTTAAGTCATTTCTATGAAAAGTGCTCTCTATATAAAATTTTACTTACTTGCTTACTACAAGATTTGAAGTAGGTTTTGTCTTAACTTATTTCAAATATTGAGTAATAATTTAAACTGTAAGAAAATTAGTTATTTTTATATGTGATATGAAGAGTTTTAACAAATCAGATGAAATTTCTTACTATTAAATGGGATTATAAACCCTTAGAATATGTCAAAATAACTTTAAAAGTGTTATTTTATTTTTTATTAGCTGTATTGATACATATAAAGGATAAATAAATAGGAACAAGCTTCATATAATTATTAGTTAATGCTACAGTTACACACTGCATACACAGACGTTATTTTTGTGTTTCTTGATTATTCATTTGGACCATGACCTCATAGTAAAAATAAAAAGCTTCATGTGCAGAAAGACTTTCAAACACTCAGAAAAATGATTGTGAGATCGTGTAAAAACTGATCTGCAAATTTATTTTGGAAAAAATGTTTTCTCAAGGGTCACCTTCAAAACTATTTTCTTGTGCTGTACCTTTAAGAAACGTGAACTTCTTCAGGAACTCAGAGGTCACAAACGTGTCAGGAAAGCAGAGGAGGAGGCCACTGAACAACAAACCTGTGGTGCTGATGTTGACAGAATGAGGCCTGGCGCTCACAAAACACACTGTCACCTGCAGGAGGAGAGAAATATGATGAAACGTAAGCGAACGTGGACCCAGACTTGCTTTTAAAAAATGTTAAAATACTACAAATTACAGTCCCTTGCGAAAGTATTCGGCCCCCTTGAACTTTTCAGCCTTTTGCCACATTTCAGGCTTCAAACATAAAGTTTAGAGCTGTCAAATGATTAAAAATTTTTAATCTATTAATTCCAAGGTAGCTGTGAATTAATCACGATTAATCTTAAACTTAATATAAAACTTTATTGCATATTGGTAAAATAAATTACTTGAGTTATTTATTAATGTCTTTATTTTAAAAAATGGTGCTTAAAAATACATACAACAATAATAAATCATGAAAATATCATCTCGATTGCACAAAAACAACAGAAATTTGGACCTAAAAAATGCCCCAAACATATTTATCAGTTAAAATTTGTGCAGAATAATGAGGTTAAATCAAGAATTCAAGGATTTTCATTCCAAATGAGTACGACATGAGGAATGAAAGATAGACACTAAGGTCACAGTTGTCAGCAAAACATAAATAAATAAAATAAAATAAGCCATAAGAAGACAAAAAGAAAAAAAACTGTACATAATGTGTTACACGTATTTATTCTTTATTTATCCAGGTAAACTGTTTGAGAACCACTTCTCATTTACAAACATGACCTGGAATACACTGAGTGCATTGTAATATACAAACCTACATATTCAGCCACAGTAAAGTGGTTGTAAATTTAAACGTGATTAAAATTTTAATCTATGCAGCACTAAAATTAATCAGAGTTAACTCGATTAATTTCACAGCCCAAATGAAGATATAAAATTTTAAATTTTTGGTGAAGAATCAACAAGTGGGACACAGTTGTGAAGTGGAAGTAAATTTATTGGATATTTTAAACTTTTATTAACAAATAAAAAACTGAAAAATAGAGCGTGCAAAATTATTCAGCCCCCTTGCGTTAATACTTTGTAGCGCCACCTTTTGCTGCGATTACAGCTGCAACTTGCTTGGGGTGTGTCTCTATCAGTTTTGCACATGGAGAGACTGAATTTCTTGCCCATTCTTCCTTGCAAAACAGCTCGAGCTCAGTGAGGTTGGATGGAGAGCGTTTGTGAACAGCAGTTTTTAGATCTTGCCACAAATTCTCAATTGGGTTTAGGTCTGGACTTTGACTCGGCCATTCTAACACCTGGATATGTTTATTTGTGAACCATTCCATTGTAGATTTTGCTTTATGTCTTGTTGGAAGATAAATCTCCATCCCAGTCTCAGGTCTTTTGCAGACTCCAACAGGTTTTCTTCCAGAACGGTCCTGTATTTGGCTCCATCCATCTTCCCATCAATTTTAACCATCTTCCCTGTCCCTGCTGAAGAAAAGCAGGCCCAAACCATGATGCTGCCACCACCATGTTTGACAGTGGGGATGCTGCGTTCAGGGTGATGAGCTGTGTTGCTTTTACGCCAAACATATCGTTTTGCATTTTGGCCAAAAAGTTAGATTTTGGTTTCATCTGACCAGAGCAGCTTCTTCCACATGTTTGGTGTCTCCCAGGTGGCTTGTGGCAAACACTAAACAAGACTTTTTATGGATTTCTTTGAGAAATGGCTTTCTTCTTGCCACTCTTCCATAAAGGCCAGATTTGTGCAGTGTACGACTGATTGCTGTCCTACGGACAGACTCTCCTCTCCACCTCAGCTGTAGATCTCTGCAGTTCATCCAGAGTGATCATGGGCCTCTTGGCTGCACCTCTGATCAGTCTTCTCCTTGTTCCAGATGAAAGTTTAGAGGGACGGCCGGGTCTTGGTAGATTTGCAGTGGTCAGATACTCCTTCCATTTCAATATGATCGCTCACACAGTGCTCCTTGAGATGTTTAAAGCTTGGGAAATATTTTGTATCCAAATCTGGCTTTTTAAACTTCTCCACAACAGCATCTTGGACCTGCCTGGTGTTTTCCTTGGTCTTCATAAGGCTGTCTGCACTTTAAGCAGAACTCTGGGACTATCACAGAGCAGGTGCATTTATACAGAGACTTGATTACAAACAGGTGGATTCTGTTTATCATCATCAGTCATTTAGGACAACATTGGATCAGAGATCCTCACTGAAGATCTGGGGTGAGTTTGCTGCTCTGAAAGTAAAGGGGCTGAATAATATTGCACGCCCCACTTTTCAGTTTTTTATTTGTTAAAAAAGTTTAAAATATCCTATAAATTTTGTTCCACTTCACGATTGTGTCCCCTTTGTTTTTGATTCCTCACAAATGTTTTTTAAATTTATATTTTTACGTTTGAAGCCTGAAATGAAAAGATTGAAAAGTTCAAAGGGGGTGAATCCTTTCACAAGGCCCACTGTAACAAGGTGCAATTTCATGTGATCATTTGTGTGATTGACCATGTTTCTGTACCTCAGGCCCCAGGTTGAGGTAGCAGTCTACGGTCAGAACGGGGTGTGTGTAGTTCTTGGTGCTGAGTGGAAACAGTTTCTGGCTGGTGTGCTGCAGGTATTTTTCCAGAAGGAGCTGAGCTGGTGTAGCCAAGAAAAGGTGCTTGCTGTCAGGAGCACAGATGTACTGTGAGGGTCCCACTGAGGTGGAAACATCTGTCATCTGAAGAAAAACCACCATCACTGACCCTTATTCAGAGTTCATGACCACAGGTTCATCTTTTGATTCATTACTTGTTTAATATTAGATGGCTAGTCTAAAATATCAACAAAGTACAAAACAAAATGTTTTTTTTATCTCAGCAGTTTAAAACTTGTGACAAGGTACAGATGAATCCACAAGCAAATCCTATCATTTTTAAACCTCTACCTTGGTTTTGATAATGAATGTTTTGTATCCGCCGATGGCGATCTGCTTCTTCATGACGCTGAAGTTGTTGAACTTGCAGACGAGCAGCCCTGCGCTGTGCAGCCTCAGTGTGAAGTCCACATCGTGACAGGTGAAGCGGTTCTGGTTGTAGTGAACATTCTGACTCCGGTCAACGTTGAGGAAGAGGAAATCGTAAAGGTGACCTCTGGAGAAAGGCTCCCACTGTTTGAAACCTTGCCCAGCAGTAAAAAATAAATATTGTAAAATTACAATAATAAAAACCTAGAAAGGTTTGTTTGTATGACATTTTTTAAACAACATTCTTAGTTTGTGTATAAAAACTAGTTCAAATAATTATACAGCCTTTTAGAATTTTAGAAAACTGATAAAAAAGATGATTAAATGAAAATATGTTTTTTTAAGAGTGGAGACCTGTAAGTCCAGAGCTGCTCCACTTTCTGATCCCACAAAGGCCAAAGTGGGTTAAATCTGGGCAGGCCTCCATGTGCTGTAAGACCTGTTTCAGTGACACACCATGGTCCACCGGACAACTGTAAAACAAATAAATAAAGACTTTCATAAATCCAACACAAAAGAGATTACATAACATCTTAATATCACTCTTTATAAAAGCAACACCTAATCTGCCCTTCACCTCTGTTTATCAAGGTCCACTGCATTCCACATAACACAGGAGTCATCAGAGAGGATGATGAAGGGCCAAACATCAACTGCAGGACTTCCTCCATCTGAGCGCCGACTGCGCTCCAACTCCAGGTTGTGATAAGAAAGCTCTTTAATCAGGAAGTGAGCAGCACCTGCAAAAACATCAGGGGTTGTTTAGAGTAATGAAAATCAACAACTAAATAACTAAATATATATATATATAATAAAACACAAGTCTGGCAACCAGCAGTGACACACCTATACCAGCTCCATTGAAGACAGTGGGCAGCACCAGCATGATATGGTTGGGCCAGTACTTCTTGTAAACAGCCATCTCATACTCTTTAACCACCAGGATGTGGAGGTGTGACGCTCCATCCATAGCATGATACAAGTTAAACAGACCATGCTCGTGACGGCCGGTGGTCGGAGTGAAGATTGGACTTTTGATGCATTCTGGGTTCTGGAATGAATGAATGAATGTTGTTGTAAAAAATATATTTTCTTGAAATATTGTCCGTAAAATAAAACTCCATCATTTTTGAGTTTTCTAGACAAGTGTCAGGTGATGTAAAAATGTATCATACTGTCTTTTTTTATGGTAGATAAGAATGTGGTAAAAGCAGAAGACTTCTGACTGGTGTGAACAAGCAGAAAATATCGGTTCATTACTTTATTTTACTTAAATTATTTTCACAAGATTATTCAAGCATTACTGGCAAGTCAAAACAGTTTGAGCCAGAGAGTTAATTATTGCCCCATCTAGTGGAGCAACCAGGAGTTGTTGTCAACACAGAAAATGATAGCAAAGATAGTCTGTAACAGCAAATTTTCAACAAAAAATACATATTATATGTAAAATAGCATAAAAACTTTCAAGCTTTTAATTGAAACTTTCATAAATTCCTTTTTTAATTATGTTTTACTATTCGTGTGAAATCTTGCTGTACTGATTTGAACTCTTTCGGTGTGGGTGCAGCGAGATCCACCATATTTTACTGATGTCATCTAGCATAAGCAAATGTAAATTTTATTTTAAATCAGTATGTGAATACAATGGAAATGTTCATAGGTGTGATTCAGTGCTTTAGGTTTTTGCTGATGATTGACTCACCCAGTCAGAAGCAAGAGGCAACCTCAAGCTCTCCAGTTGGCCTCCTGGTTGGCTGAAGCTGAAGTATTGCTCTTTAGATTTCGGGATGATGAAGTAGAGCTGAATATCTTCTCCGAGCAGCAGGTGAGTGAATGTGAAGGCATGCAGCGTTGACTCAAACATCTGAGTTACGACACGAGGCAACTTTCATTTACAGTTCAGAAGCACCAAAATAGTAATTTTCTCTATTGTGTGAGTGCAGCTTTTTGACCTGGTATCTGGGGTTGAAGCCCAAGTACTGATGACACTGTTCACAGTGATGATAGGTGTTGTAGGCTGCATACTTAGAGAGCTTGATTCTAGTCGTCCGCCTACGCAGGTACACATCCTCCTGCCACACAGGGTTTCCTTCATGTCACAAAGGAGGAAAAACGAGATGATAATAAATAAAAAAAGAATAACTTCTGAACTAAAGCGTGATAGTCATTTTTGTTATTTTCCTTTTGTTTACCATCAGTACGTGGTTTAAATCCAGGGCAATATATAGTGCTGATGTCATCATATTTAGCATCATGGTTGGTGTAGTCAAAGGGTATTTTCTTCATGATTTCTATGTTGGGCCATGAAGAACTAGGTGGATGGAACTGTACCCCTTCTGCCTGGGCACCTACATCCACAACACATGTTAAAACGTATCCATCTGATATGAATTTACAGCAACAAAGAAGAATATCAGGACAAAGCTTGATAAAAGCTCAGTAAATGAAATTAGAAAATGTATAAAAATGACAATTAAGAAAATTCATTGAAAAGTCTCAGTTATTAACAGGGTTCGACAAGATTTTATGTTTACCTGCCCGACAGGGCAGGTGACAACAAATGTTACCTGCCTGACATGAAAAGTTACCTGCCCGAAACAAAAATGTTCAAATTTTGATAAAATCAGAAAAACATTTACTGTACTTTGTACTACAAAAATATTAACATGGTTATACAGAGGTTTATAATATATGACATCTGATTAAACAGATGCAAACATTTGAGACTGAGTTACTAACAGTCAATTGTTTTATCAAGAACATCTTCAAAAAAGTGTTTCCCTAGAGCAGTGGTTCCCAAACTTTTTATCATCTGACCCACAATATTCATGTCAAAAACTTGTGACCCCAAATATTACTGGTCTGAGTACACAAACTTTGTTAATAACCCTAAAAACACAGGCTTTTTTGACAATCTAAACAGCTTGTACACAAATATAAATACTTATTTATACGTATTTTGTGTTTTTTTAATAGTTATAGGGAAAATATTACATCAGCAATTATTTTATTACTCTTTAAGTTGATTTCTGGAGATTATCCAAGGTGCTTCATGACCCATAATTGGGTCCCAAGCCCAACTTTGAGAACCAAAGTGCAGTGGTTCCCAAACTTTTCAGCCTTTGACCCACAAAATAACAGTAGAG